GTTTGTTGTCCTGTTGTACCAATTTAGAAAGTAAACAATACTAACTGTTTTGGTGCATGTGATGTCAATCTTTTAAGAAGGTAAACTGAAATGCTCATTTTTTACAAAAATTTTGAAAAAAAGTGATGAGCCAATAAGAGTATGTAAGGTTCTTCTTGTAAGAGTTACAGTTGTATAGTCCAGTTCCTCAGTTTCTATTTAGTATTCCTGTCCAAGGACCTATAGTGACGTTGCTTCCAAAATATCCTTTTGGTTTGGATGTCGAAAGTGCGAAGAAGTTCACTAAAAGCTTGACCTAAAAGCACAGTCACTTGTTGTTTATATGCCTGCTCCTCAGTGTTTCATATATATAAAGGTTCATCAACAGCAAGTATATTTGTATGGTACTAGGAATATTTAGATATCTACTTTGTTGCTTTCCTATATTATTTTTTTATAATTCAGTTTATTTTGTTGTTGACTAAGAGATTGTTGGGAAGAGTTGTATCATTATCAAATATAATCTAACTTGTATAAATTTTTTGATTATATTTATACTTTAGTTTAAATATAATATTTCTTTTAATTATAATTTATTTATACAAATCTAGGTAAATATTTGACTATTCTAGTATATTTAGATTACAAAAAACTAGTCTAAATTTTTATTCTTGCTTGTAATTTTTTATTTTTATACTTTTTTGTATATAAAGATTAATAACTCACTATAGTTACTATTTTAAAATTTATTAATAAAGGTATAAGCAAAACCTCACCTTAATGCCAAAAAAATAATAATAAAGAAAAAATATAATTATTTGGTAAACTTGATCATATTCAAATACTAAATAATATTATTGACAATTTTGTGTATTTTATTAGTTAATAATATATAGTTTTAGTGAAAAACATTCTAGTAGAGTTTTTCACTAAGACTACTAGATTATTAAAAAAATTTGAAAGTTTATTGGGGCTTCAACTTCTAGTTAACAACACTGATTAAGGAATAATATTTACTAAAATTCCATTTTACTTAATATAAACTTATAAGTAAAAATAAATGTTTGCATTATCACTGTTTTCGAAATGGTTGAGAATAGCAAGATTTTCAAAAAATAATTTTTTTATACAAAAACCTGAAAATCCAAAAACCTGATTAGTTTAGAATGATGATTGATTCTGATTTATATAATTGTTATCAATAAACAATTACATGACTAACTCCTGTTCATTACAAATCATCTGATAGTTCATGCAAGTGTATTATAATATACTTCTTTTTTTTTGATGTCCTACTTTTGTTGCGATATGCTTTTTTTTTTTGATAGCTACTTTTGTTATGTGACTCTATAATGGTAAATAATAATCTACACTAAACAGTTATTACAATTACCATAGTACACTAACCAAAGTATCTACCTTTTTCAATATCTCCTCTTGAGCAAAGTACTCAGGTCTTTTGGTTAGTACATTACGGTATATGAAACTACAAAAGCATATATTAAAACTGTTAAACATACTTTTGTTCTATTTACCAACAGTAATTACAATGCTTTTAACACAATACGATTAATAATTGGAGGTTATGAAGCAAAAAATCGAATAATTATATCTGGGCTTTTATAGTAAGGTAAATTATTTTTGCATTACTAGACATTATATCAAAATATTCAATTGAGTTAACTCTATTTGGTTTGTTATTTTTTTATATACAAACATTATTACAATAATGTGAGCGTAAGCCAACTTGATATGATTTAGTAATTTATTAATAATCAATGATTAGCTAGTCATATCAAGTTAGCCTACAAGTTTCTCAAATAAAAGAAAAATGCATCTTATTATAGACATTGTTTTTTTTTTAGAGCTACTGGTATTCACATTCTTATTCTGGTTCCTCACATACAAGAAAAAACGTATCTTATTCATAAGTTTAGGTGTTTTGTTTACAGGTATTCACATTCTTTCTTATGCAAGAAAAACGAATCTTATTCGTAAATTTGGTGTTTTGTTTTGTCTACATAGTTTTTTCTTTTCAAGGTTACTGGTATTCATATTCTTTCTTACATGCAAGAAAATATACTTATTTATGAATTTAGGCATTTTGTTCACAGTTTTTTTTTTTAGAGTTACTGGTATCTGCATTCTTCTTCATATACAAGAAATATATCTAATTTGTGAATTTAGGTGTTTGTTCACAAGCTTAGTTTTTTCAGGGTTACTGGTATTTGCTTTTATCATTTACTGTAGTAGTGTTAAATACTTATATTAACTTACTAACACAGTGTTGGATTCTGTTTTTTACAGTACGATAGCATTTGTTTGCATATAGCACAATTATAATATCTTTAGAGAGTTGGGACAATAATTAGTATTAGTTGTGAGATGTTATAATATGATTTAAACTTATTGTATAGAATTTAATAAATTCATTCGTTGGATTTATCAGAATTATATTGGGCTCGCAACTCTTATGTATAGATTTAGGTTTTTGTCTATAAGCGTGTTTGTTTAGGGTTGTTGATATTTGTATTTTACCATATCTTAACAGTATCAGTATGTGTTTTTTTATAGCACAATGACATTTGTATGCTTATAATTATGTTACGTCTTTAATAAATAAATTTTAATATATTATTAAGTTTAAACAATTGATTTTTGCAAGTATTGAATTACAATTTGGTAAAGAAAAAAATGTTGCTTTACAGGATTGGTACATGTTTTTTGTGCCAGAAGTGCATGTTCTGTTTTACTGATCTCACTATAGACTTATGCAAATGTGATACTACTATAAAGCCTTCTCATACATCTTCCTATCATCAAAAATTCTTTAGTCTAATCTTTGATTCTAATATAGCCTCAACTGATCAACAACTATTTCTTCAAAGTTATGTTCAACTTCGTAGTTACAATTGCAACTTTAATACAATATTTAATTTTAGTTTTTGCCCCGCATACTATTCGCATTATGATTGTAAAAAGAATTATAAAGGTGAAAGTAGCGATAATGATAATTACGATGATGATGATTATGCTAATAATTATGTTGATGATTATATTAATAATAATTTTTCGGCTTCAAGCTCTTCCTGCTTAGAAATAAAAGCAAAAACCATCATTAAAGTTGAAAGTTCAACTCCAATGCCTGCAAAATAGTTTACCTTCAATACGGATAAGTTTTATATATTTAATTATAAACTTATTAATCATATTCATAAGTGTACTGATGATGCTGACATTGATAAAGATTATATATATTTTTTTTTTT